AATAATAGACATTTAGTTTTTGTGTGGTGCTCCTTCTTTCCAGAAACCACCTTTTTTATAATAAATGTCCCGCTGATATAGTCCTCTATTTATAATGGATGATGGTATCAAACCCATATAACAATTTGTGTCTAAAACAAGGGTTTTATGTTTCCAAGCTGTGGTTTTGCCAGCAAGGTTTTGTTTAGACCATTGCAAAACTTACTGGACCTAGTATGCAACCCTCAATGAGGATAACCAAAGAAATTGCAAACTTTTTACCTTGACCCCCGCTATTCCCTCGGTGACAGATGCTCTAATATCTTTACTAGTCTTTATCTAATCTGTTGTCTACTGGCAGATAATTAGCAAAAACGAGGTGACCCACAAGCACATAAGAAATAATGCGCTAATACAGCAAGTATAATCATATTAGCCTGTGAATATGTTTCTTCATCATTTTGAGCATGGTAACATGACTAAGGTATTGCAGGTATTATGGCTGCTCCTTAACCTTTTTTAAACCCCCCCACCTACCCCTGTGAACTCCCTTAAACCAAAAAACGACACTTGACCCCGCATTGGGAGTTTAAAGGCCCACCCCATAGCCAGCCATTTTTATTAAACAACAAAGATTACAACATCTTGTGTTACCAAAATACAAATACCTATATATACTCACCGAACGTTATTACTTTATTACGTTATTACCTTACTGTTATTCCCAGAATTACCTCATTAAAGTCTAGGGTCTTAGAAGGCGACTTGTGTATCTACCACCAACATAGACTTCAATTCAAGGCCCCCCAGCTGCAAATACACCAACTCGGAGACAATTCCTAAAAATTACCCTCGATACAGCCACTTAACTCCTGAATCATTACCGCAATAAATTTGCTAGGATATCTACCACCCATACATGTGATGGCCCAATCCACCATTCCTTCTCCCAAAAATTTTTAAATCGTCCCACTGCCTTCCAAGACCCCTGAGACCCCTGCCAACTGCTATGACAAAATATAAACCCAGAAAACAAGCGAACCCCCCAAAAACACAGGAAACCACGACCAAGCAGTTTACCCATTCCAGGAAACTGCCCAAGAAACCATCGAAAGGTCAGAATGGACAAAACAAGAGAGCCCCACGAACGCAGAAGCTGCCAAACAAGTCGTTTCCGGAGGGAGGTCAGGAGAAAGCTTGTTGTCTACACTGTCTCAGCTACGACTGACTCCAACCACATTTGGCACCTCCTACCCATTTCTCCACCCGAACCACACCCCCTCTTAAATAGCCACAACCTGAACCCCACCTCGAATCAGCTAACACTTTTCTTCCCTTTTTAATCAAAAACTCCTCTATTAACCCTACGTTGCTCCACCACCTATCCTGCTAACCTAGTCCTAACAGGCCTTCCGCCTATGCTACTCATCTAGCTCCAGGCCTTATTCTTTTCTGTAAATATATGTGTACAGAAATACCAAATCATTTCAAGTTCTCAAGGGTCAAAGCACACTGGGCTTAAATGTTGCTTATACAGGAGTATTTTTGGTGTTTTGCCTGTAGAAGCTGCTCAGTGTTATCCTAAGTAAAATGCGCTTTTTGTTGAAGTGAATTAAGAATCTCAATTAAAACTCATCTATACTTGCTGTATATTTTATTTTTGCTGTCGGAGTGTTTATATTTGTTTGAATTGCCAGCTGGATGGATGATAGCTTTTATCTCTTTGATAACATCCTAAAGTGTAAAAACTCCCAAATTATAAAGCTTTTTTTTACAATTTTTTTACAAAGACGCTGAGATGTTTTGCCTGTTTCCACCTGCACTCTTTAATTATGGATCCTAAAGGAGACAGATGGTGTCCCTGTATTATGGGCCAGTAAATTAGAGCAGCATATCAAAATTTAGATCACAACAGTCTTCATTCCAGCTGAACATCGAATGATAAACAGTTCAATGGTTGAAAAATCAGACTACAGTTTATATGATCTGAAGCACACTAAATATTGCTGTAACCCGTAGTTTAAGATTTTTCACTGTCTAGATGGATTGAAGCGGGCCCTTCTATGCCTTTCAAGACACTATATATTTTTAACTAATATTAAAATGTCTATAAAATTGCTTCTGGGCTTTAATATCCTGCTGGTGCTCCTGTTTGCTGTGTTGTTTTGTGATGATTGTTCTTGGAAACCCACAAGAGGTTCTTATATGCCAGACAGCTGTTTCTATCCTTAACTAAAACCTTCATATTGGAAAATAAAATCTCTTTAGAAAAATTAAATTAAGAAATACAATGTGTTATTGCAACTCACTGAAATACCTAATGAAATTAGGCTACCTATCTGAAGCTCTGGCAGCTTTCCAAAATACCTAAAATAATATGAACAGGAGAAAGTACATAGAAGGGCAACCAAACTGATACGAGGCATGGAGGAGCTCAGCTAATGAAGAAAGATTAGAGTAACTGAATGTATTCTCTCGCTTGAGAAGAGAGATTAAGGGGGGATATGATCAACATGTATAAAAATACATCAGTGGTTCATATAGTGAACTCGGTGTAGAGCTATTCACCCTGAGGGTCATCACAGAAGACAAGGGGGCACTCTTTACGTCTGGAGGAAAATACATTTAATCTCCAAACATGGAAAGGTTTCTTCACAGTCAGAGCTTTGAAAATGTGGAATAGACTCCCTCAAGAGTTGGTTTTGGCCAGCTCAGTGGATTGCTTTAATAAAGGCCTTGGATTCTCTATTCTTAGATACACAGAACAGAACTGGATACTAACATTTATAGGTAAAGTTGATCCAGGGAATATCCAATTGCCTCTCGAGGGATCCCTGCAGGAGCAAATTGGATCATGCTTTGCTGGGTTTTTTTTGCCTTCCTCTGGATCAACTGTGAATATAGGACTATAACTTTTTTTTTTTTTTAATGGTTGATCTGGATGGACTTTTGTCTTTTTTCAGCCAGACTAACTATGTAACTATGATGTCACAAGATTAACAGCTATTGTCTTTATGACACATTATCACTGCAAAATACTTCTTAGTTATAATAATAGTTGCAAGTTGTACTTGCATGTATAAATACATTGTTTGCTCTCAGCTGTTAATTAGCTCATTGTTTATTCTCAGGTTATTAGCTATTACCTATATAATCAATTTCCCACTGGAGACCTACAACGGAGTGTAGTTGGCCCATAGTCAAACAGTACAGACTACAAGAGATTTGTACGTATGTTGCAGCATGTGTGCATTACAAGAACTCTGTTGCACAACTTGTATTATTGTTACTTATACTGTATATAATCTCTAGCTATAAAATGTTTACCATTTCCATAGACTGGTGGATCCATGCAGCCACAAAGCTCTCCTCCATTGTCTACTTCACAGCTCCTGTTGGGACAGTCTGCATCCACACAAGGATCCTCAATCACTCCTGCTATAGATGAAAAGGAGAAAAGAATAACTTAATGTTCCTATACCACAGATACGTTTGGGGTTAGTAAAATCTTTTTATTGATCTTTTAGGGGGAGTATAAATATTATTATTATTATTATAACAGGATTTTATATAGCGCCAACAGATTGCTCAGCTCTTTACATTATAGTGGAATACAATACAGTAACAATACAGTTCAATACAAAAGGGAGTTTAGGGCCCCGCTCCTCGGAGCTTACAATCTAGGAGATAACTGATATCACACACTATCTGCCATACCTTCAAACCATCTTGCCAACATAAATATGCAGTTTAATGATCATGGGAAGTTGTGATATTGAAGTTCAGAAAAGTATACAAAAAACAAAAAAAATAGTTTATTTCTCAAGGATTTTTCATTTATCAGATTCCAGCTTCTCGAAGAAAGCACTGGGCAGTAAGGCTCAGTTCACACTAGCATTGAAAGCAGGCATTTGAGGGGCGTTTTTAATGCTCCTCAAATGCCTATGAAAATGATACACATGGCAACACATGGTGCTGTTCACACTGAAGCGGTAATGTGGCATCATGTCAAAATCGACACCTTTAGGGCTTGTTCACACTTGACTTCTTGCCAAATATAGTGTTTGACAGGCGTTAGACATGTGTTTAGGGAGCATTTTTTAACACTCTTCAAATGCCCCCCAAATGCTCTAAAAAAAATGCTGTGCATTTTTTTTTGAGGCATTTCATAGGCGTTTTCCAAGCGTTAAAAAACCACACCACAAACAAAGTTAATGGTATTAACGCCTCGCAAACGCCTACCAGGTGTTTGAGGAGCATCACCATAGACTTGAATGGGAGGAGTTGAAAGGCTTGGGATGCTGTTCAACATGAATGGAACTGCAAACACATCACAGTTTGTTTCCTGCATTAACGAGCATTGAGCTAAAAATCACTAAAACACATATTCAAAATGAACTGCTTTATGCAGAGAAGGCATGTAATATGCACCACTCCTACTTCTCACACTGCTGAGCAGGAGCGAACTGACCATTCAAGCACTCGGGCACTTCCCGAGGGCCCGGGCTCAGTAGGGGGCCCCATGAGATTGCCCCTGGTACCTTTCATTGGCTTTTTAATAGGATTTTTTGGGTGTGGGCAAGGACACAGGGGCCCCATGATCCCCTATTTCCCAGGGGCCCCATGAGTTGTCAGTCCACCCCTGCTGCTGAGCTTTGCAAAAGTAAAGAGAAAATGCCTGCTGAATATCCTGTAGGTTCAGAAGATGCTTAATTTCTGCAGAGATCAGTAGCTCATGCTTGCAGAAAAGGTGAGCTTTCCTTGGCTTGTTCACAAGGAGCAATTTATATTGAATATTTATTTTAGTGACAACACTTTGCCTTTCTCTGCTTCAACCTTCAGGTTTCCGGGTTCTGAGAATGCAAGTTTTTTTTTTTTCATTTAACTGTGTAATAAGTCTTTCAGGTTTTCTATAAATCTATTTTTCTCACTCTATTTGATATAATTGTAAAATCACACTTATTGAGTATTTTTTAGAATAAAAGTTGATAACTGGCTCAGACTTACAGCAGTTCTCCTTCTCAATCCATTCTGTGCTGAGAATTCCAAATGATCTGCATGCCTCTCCATAGGCAGCTAAACGAACCACACAGCTGGATTTTTTTGCTATTGTAGCATCCATCAAGAAAACAAGATTCATAAAAGGGCACAGGATCCAACAGACCATAACACGGCTGGAAGAAGCCTTTCATATCCGTCAGTTTAAGGCAATAGCCATCACTCTGAAGCTTCTGGATTTGAACATTGTCACAAGTAGAGGCATACTGAGAATACTGCAACTCATTGCAGCTAAGAAAGAAAGAAAGAAAGATTTAAGTTACAATTTATGCTTTGTTTGAGTAACAGTACAGTGCTTATGTTTGCACCCCATTTGACTTGCAGCTCCAAAAACTTGGGTTTGAAACTCCCCAGAACACTATCTGGATGGAGTTTTTATGTTTTTTTACAAGTTTGTTTGGGTTTCCACTAATGGGTTAAATGTCCCCCCAAAACACACTGATAGGTAAATTAGCATTCCACAAAAATGAAGCTACAGTTTGTAGTAAAGAGACATTCGGGTTCATTTACGAAAATAATACAGACTGTTCATTCTAAAAATTATATGTATACTTTGAAAAGAGAATGTGACCAAAACCATTTTCACTTTAGATACCCGATTATTTGCAGGGTAAATAAAAATATAGGATTTATGTTTGAATAGATGAATAAAGTGAACACAGCTTCTTTTTCAATAAACCAAGCAAACATTCACTATATCTCTAAGGCATATGACTCATGTAATTAATTTTCTTTACAGTGATTGTAAACATCAGACATGGAATATGAAATATATATTCCTCAATAGTGCACATTTGTCTCAATGCAGAGCACTAAGTGTCATTTCTATCTGCTTCCTCATTCCTCTCCTATCTACATGAGTCATTTCTGACAAGTTTTCACACCAAGAGGTAAAAAGGTGACAGGGAGGAGTTTAGGCACACAGCTTGTGATTGACAGCCTCAGCTATGTTCCTGTGCTGTGTAAAGGAGGGTGTGTCCCTTCCCTCTAATTAGCTCTCAGCTAATCTCTGCACTTTGCATGGCTGTAGAGAAGAGAAGACAGCAGATAAACAGGTACAACTTACGTTTGTTTCATCTCTGTGTATCACCTAAGGTCAATTACTTCACTAGGTATATGTAAGACTTTACAACCACTTTAAAGCAGTATTAAACCTAAAAACATCATAAAATGCAGTTTTACCAATCCTTAAATGTGATGGCTGCATTCATTTTCCTTTTCAGGCTTTTTTTCTTTCATTATCACCTCGTGATCTAGCAAGTAACACACTTCTTGTCTTAGGTTGTCTCCACTCTGGATGGAGGAACAGTGGAGACACCTTTGGACAGCAGCATTGTCAATCTGGAGAGAGTGCAGTGTTAGATGGACTTACAGTTAGGGTCCATATATATTTGGACACAGGCACAATTTTTATACTTTTGGCTCTGTATGCCACCAGAATAAATTAAATTGAAACAATCCAAATCAATTTGAAGTGCAGACTTTCAGCTTTAATTCAAGGGGTTAAAACATAAATATCAAGTTCAAATTTTAGGAACTTCAACCATTTTTATACACAGTCCCTCCATTTTCAGGGGCTCAAATGTAATTGGACAAATGAATATAATCATAAATAAAATGTTCATGTTTAATATTTTGTTTAGAATCCTTTACTGGCAATGACTGCCTGAAGTCTGGGACCCATGGACATTACCAAAGACTGGGTTTCTTCCTTTCTGATGCTTTGCCAGGCTCTAACTGCAGTTGTCTTCAGTTTCTTTGTGGGTCTTTCTGGCCTTTATTTTTGCCTTCAGCAAGTGAAATGCATGCTCAGTTGGGTTGAGATCAGGTGATTGACTCGGCCATTGCAGAATATTCCACTTCTTTTCCTTCAAAAGCTCCTGGGGTGCTGTTGCAGTGTGTTTTGGATCATTGTCCATCTGTACTGTGAAGTGCCATCCAATCATCTTTGCTGCATTTGGCTGAATCTGGGCTGACAGTATATCTCTAAACACTGCAGAATTCATCAGGCTGCTTCTGTCTTCTGTCACATCATCAATAAACACCAATGACCCAGTGCCACTGGAAGCCATGCATGCCCATGCCATCACACTGCCTCCACCATGTTTTACAGATGACATTGTGTGCTTTGGACCATGAGCTGTTCCCAGCTTTCTCCACACTTTTTTCTTCCCGTCATTCTGGCATAGATTAATCTTAGTTTCATCCATCCAAAGAATGCTTTTCCAGAACTGGTCTGGCTTTTTTAGATGTTTTTTGGTAAAGTCTAATCTGGCTTTTCTGTTCTTCAAGCTTATGAATGGTTTGCACCTTGTGGTGAACCCTCTGTATTTGCTCTCGTGAAGTCTTCTCTTGATTGTAGACTTTGACAATGATACGCCCACCTCCTGGAGCGTCCTTCACTTGTCTGGATGTTGTGAATGGGTTTTCCTTTGCCATAGAGAGGATCCTGCGATCATCCACCACTCTTGTCTTCTGTGGACGTTATGCCTTTTATATGTTGCTGAGCTCACCAGTGCATTCTTCTTTCCTCAGAATGTACCAAACTGTTGATTTGGCCACTGCTAATGTTGCTGCTATCTCTGTGATAGATTTGTTTTGTTTTTTAAGCCTTACAATGGCCTGTTTCACTTGCATGGACATCTCCTTTGAACGCATGATGTAGGTTCACAGCAATAGATTCCAAATGCAAATACCACACTTAGAATCAATTCCAGACCTTTTACCTGCTTAATTGATGAGAAAATAACAAAGGAGTAGCCCACACCTGGCCATGAAACAGCTTTTGATTCAATTGTCCAATTACTTTTGGTCCCTTGAAAAAGGGGGGACGGCTACTCTTAAGAGTTGTAATTCCTAAACCCCTTCCTCCAATTTGGATGTACATACCCTCAAATTAAACCTTTGAGTGTGCACTTTCAGCCCATATCCATTATATAACTATAGGTTTGATATGTTTTGGTAAATATCTGAAAAAAGAATAAAATTGTTCCTGTGTTCAAATATATATGGACCTAACTGTAACTAACAAATTAAAACTGAACCTAGCTAAAACCTTTTAACGCCAATACAGCAACAGTGATTTTTCTTTTTGGGATAAAGGTTTCAAGTAAAAGAATAAAAGCTGACCATTGTAAGCACCCATGTCATTGGTAAATATGGTATTTAACCCTCTAATTGCCACTTTTGCTGGACAGCTTGGTCTGTTAAAGAAAAATCATAGGCTTACTGGTAGCATCACCAGGTGAATAAATTTTTCTCTGACTGGAAAATCATACTGACAAATAGGTTGTTACCAGCTAAAAAATGTCCTAGATATTTGCAGGTGTTTCTAGGTGCCAGCACTTTTTACTTAATAGCACCAGAAATAAGTAAATTATCATTGCACAATGCCCAATAGTGAATATACTATGGTAACAACAGTAAGTATCCTCCTGCGCTTAATGCGGAAGTCGCAAACCTAACTATAGCTGCTGCCACTTAACTTAAAACCAATAAGTGATAATATAAAGTAACTGTAAATAGTGAAGCACTATAAATCCTATCTATTAAATACAGATAAATATTATATATTACTAGCCGTGCACACACAATAGTGCTCAGTGACAAATAATTACAAACAAATAAATATTTCTTTCCACAAGTATAAGTGAAACATAACCTTGAATATGTGACAAACTACAGATAATTGTGAAGTGATTCTTTAAGAAGAAAAAATTCCCGTGTTATTTATCAATATCTCTAAAAACACACTGTGTATATACAAACGTCAAACCAATCAAATTATATATGTGCTAATTGAAAACATAAAGTCCATGCAAGTGAATCTGTGCTGATGTGATCTTCACTCCAGTGAAAAATGAACAGAAATCCTCAAATGGCAGCAATGCCTGCTCACCTCCACACATTGACCCACACAGGGCCACAGGGCTATAATAAACAGTAACAGATCCTCTCCACTCCACTCATCATCACAGGGACCATGGGATAGAAAAAAGACCTCTGCTCAGTGCACTTTATTCACTCCTCCTCCACTCAAGGTAACATATATAGGGTATAAAGCAAGAAACCTTCCATGGTGCAGTATCTTTTTATTTCAATTGCAGATAAAAGTTGGTAAAGCACTCACATGTATCCCCAGTAACAATCGCCTTTGACCACATACTATGGGTGTACTGCATGGTATACTGGGTGTAGCAAGATGGCCACTGCCGGAAGTGCGTCACCACGTACCGGAAATGACGTACCGACACGTTGCGTCACATGACTCATGACTTCATCAGGGTTGAACCCTGATGAAGTCACGTGACGCAACGTTTCGGTACGTCATTTCTGGTACGTGGTGTCACACTTCCGGCAGCGGCCATCTTGCTACACCCAGTATACCATGCAGTACACCCATAGTATGTGGTGAAAGGCGATTGTTACTGGGGATACATGTGAGTGCTTTACCAACTTTTATCTGCAATTGAAATAAAAAGATACTGCACCATGGAAGGTTTCTTGCTTTATACCCTATATAAGTTACCTTGAGTGGAGGAGAAGTGAATAAGGTGCACTGAGCAGAGGTCTTTTTCTATCCCATGGTCCCTGTGATGATGAGTGGAGAGGATCTGTTACTGTTTATTATAGCCCTGTGGCCCTGTGTGGGTCAATGTGTGGAGGTGAGCAGGCATTGCTGCCATTTGAGGATTTCTGTTCATTTTTCACTGGAGTGAAGATCACATCAGCACAGATTCACTTGCATGGACTTTATGTTTTCAATTAGCACATATATAATTTGATTGGTTTGACGTTTGTATATACACAGTGTGTTTTTAGAGATATTGATAAATAACACGGGAATTTTTTCTTCTTAAAGAATCACTTCACAATTATCTGTAGTTTGTCACATATTCAAGGTCATGTTTCACTTATACTTGTGGGAAGGAACCAGGTCGCGGCCCCCGAGACACCCCGGCTGCGGTAATGGCCGCCGCCAATGGCGTGTAGCTGGTGAGAATGACAATAGCGTAGTCAGGCAAGCTGGGTCAACAACAACGGGACAAAACAGTACAGAACAGTAGACAGAGAATCACAGGTCACGGGCCGGGTTCAGCAACGGAAGGTCAGATCGAAGGAAAACACAGAGAATGGTCTAGTCACAAGCCGAGTCAAATACCAGAAGAGTCACGAGCATATACACAGAGAGCTGTAGCAAGACAAAGACACAAGACACAAGTGCA